CAAAAACTGAAGATTCCATAATCCAAATCTTACAGCTCGGTAATTGAAACCTAATATAAAGGTTATGCTCTTATGTGCCTATTATTTTTCTTATATTTGCTGGAAATGAGTAAAAAAATATGAGTTTTATACACAATATCACTGTATTGAAACAGCAAGTCCATGCAGAGTTGGATTAATCTACACAGATGATGGTTTCTATGGAAATGGGGTCTTACAGTGGCACAAAATCAAATCACTCAAGTGCCAATGTTCAAAAACTAAAGATTCCATATTCCAAACTTTAGTCATTGAATCCCAACAGAATGGTTATATTATTATAAGTCTATTATTTTCCTTTCCTTTGCTGGAATTGAGTAAAAAAAAAAGGAGCTTTGAGTACATTGTGACTGTATTGGACAGTAGGTTTCTTAAAGCAACTTTTGAATGCATTTTTTACCTCCACCAAGGAGGTTATGTTTTTTTTTTCACTGTATGTTTGCATTGAACATGGTCATATAATTTGAAATATGATTGGCTGCATATTAAAAAAACAAAATTCTGATAAGTAGTTGTTTTAAGTCTTAAATCACATTACGTTTTAAAAAGAACAATGTGGTGCAAATGCAAACTTCTAAAAATTGTTGTTTTTTTTTTCAATTTCAAAATATAAAAATGCACAGACAATGTTAATCATTTAATTCCTATTTCTGACAATCCTCATACATCTGTCAGAAAAGCTGAATCCTTTTCCTGGCAGTTTTGACAGTTGCTGACATGTCTGAAACAAAGCAGTCATTGTTTTGAAAACTGGTACAAGACTTTTTGTCCCATCTGTCTAACTCACACACGAAATTGACTTAACACCGGAAATTTCATGGTTGAACATGCAGTCAACCTTCTGAAGAAACAATAGTATTTATTTCTACATTGATTCAAATGTTTGCAGACGTTTACATATCAATACATTCTTAAACAGCAGAAAGACTAATGTAACAAATTATCTCTGAATAATGTTGAAATAGCAAGAAAAATCTATGACGTTATTGGTTTTGTCAAAGCTTTAGCTGACCTTCATAGTCAAATAATGTTTGTCAACTTAAATACCAAGTTCTTATTCTGACCTACAAGCTGTAATACAACACCCCCAGATGATCCTAACTTGGAAAATTAAAAACCGTGATAGCATCCCTGGTTTAAATGACATGCCTTGATGATAAAGAAACCCTGAAATCAAATACTCACTGGGGATTTTGAGATAAAATCTCTGCATAGTGTTCACTGGTCAGCAATAGAAAATCATTGATTATACTAAGATGATTTGGCTTGGCATTTTTTTGTTTTGTTCTTTTTTCTCTTCCTTTCATTTTGCGAAAAAAAAAAAATTGAACAATTGCCATAAGAAGTGCTGCACATCAAAAGGAAACAAAATGGGCATAAAATGCTGTAACAGTTCCTAAATATGTCTGAAGATGAATATGAAGATCAATGTAAAAATATTAATTTGATTCAATTTTACTTTTATTTTTATTCAATTAATTTATATTTTGTTCATTAACACGGTATTTAATTCTAAACCCTCAGTGTAAGATATTTTCCAGTGCATATTTACTTTTAAGATTTTCTCGTTATAATGTTATATCACAGAGACTGCAGGTACTGTCATGGTTTTTAATATTTTAGCTGCGAAAAAAAAAAAAAACACCTGAGAGTGCTTAAGAAACACTAAATTATTCCACTTGGAATTTTAAGTTACTCAATGCTACAATTAATTTCTAGACTGGCAATATCAAAATTAACCTGACCATGTAATAGTAATAACAATAATAATGGATACTGGAAAATATTTTAGGTCCATTTTCCATGCCTACTGATACTAATGATCTGTTACGAATACCTAATTCTACTTCAGTTTCCTGATAGTCAAAATTATCATTTACATGTAATATAATTTTGAGTAATGATGTTATACTTAACTGTAAAAAAAAAAACAGGACTTTATTTGTATTGAGCTTCATTAAGATGTCTCCATAAATTAACTGATGGAATTCTGTGTACAATAGTTCTTAAAGCACACAGTTTTTTGTTTTTTTCTCATAATATTAACTTCTGTGGTGACTAAAATAATTAAATCTTATATAAAGGTTATGGACAGTGAAAGTATACATCATGTGCTGTATTGCCAATTTGGTGGAGGTACTTCAATAAACACAAATTTCTGCATTTTACGTGGAGGTACAAGTAAATTAATTTGGAATAAATGCCCCTGTCAATTTGACAAAATTGCTGACTGTCTTATATGATAAAGTCTTTAATTTTAATGTCTTCTTTTCAACACATCCCTGTTGAGAATGGAAAAGAAGTTACAGTTAAACATTTCTACCAAGCACAATCACAAACACAATCAGCCAAATTTTAAAATCAAAATCTAACTTCATAATTTCTTTCTTCTTTCAGATCTCACTACAGAGTTAGAGGAACTATTATCACACGCCACTCATCAGTAATCTGCGGCCATCATCATAAATACTTAATAGTCAGCAACAGACGTCAGAAGCAACCAACCTTCCACTGAAATTTGGTAATGTTGATTGGCTGAGAAGTTAACGTATTAACAGAGTATATGTAATAGGATCATCAGTAGAGCTCTATACCATCAGGAATCTTGGAACTGAAGAAGTCATTACTACAAGTAAAGCACTTATTCAATATCGTGAACAGTGGATTTTCTTATTTACTCCCAAGGTCTTGAATCAGTGAGTGCTAGTAGAATCATTTCTGTTCAGGAAAACGGGTATAAACTTGTAACCAGTGACAGTGAAGACTTAAACTTTTGAACTCACAGATAATCACAGTACCAGATAACTATTAACCACATGTGTGATTGTTATCAATAAAGACTTGGTCACCAAGTTATACAACCTGGATAAGTCAACATCTGAACGTGGAGAGAACGTTTGAATCAAAGCACTTTAAAATTTTAACTAACTGTCACAGGAGAGCATGTCAGCATAAAACAAGTGAGAAACAATTGAGAGCAGTGAGAAGTTTCACTTTTAACAAAAGCTCTTGAAGGTGTATAGTGTCATCCTTAGCTATTCTCTCATGATTGGAGCAGCAAAACTTATGATAACCTCACGATGCGATAAAAATTACCATCAGAAAAGTCAATGAACAATAAAGGCTCTGAATCAGATACAGTCTATTAGGAGCAAATAAAACAATTCCGCACTTTATCCTCGTTGCCAACATGAGGGCTCTAAATTAAGGATAACTCTAGACATAGTGCAACACAGGTAGGCAAAACTTTCACACTGAAGTCTAACCACCTGTGCAACTGGTAAATTTCCAGTAGGATATTATATAGAAACTTGTGTGGTCTCTCTCTGTCTCTAAAAGAGACCCAACAAAGTGGTTTTTGTGGAGGAAAAACAAATTCTTCGGTATTTTTCTCAGAAAGGATCACACCATCACGGTGACGTGACAAACCGCCATTTGATTCCTTTTCCCAGATCGGCTAATGGAGAGATTTAACTGAAAATTAGACAGGTTTAAAACTGGTACTTCTCCCATGGAGGATATAACACCAAAGATGGCCATTAAAGTAGCCATTTTCAAAGATCCGTAACATTAAAAGCACAGAGCACAACCATTTGTCAACAAACAACATCCTTAAAAATGTCCCTGGAGATGCAACATGATGGCTTAAAACAATAAAGCGTGACTTGCCGTCCAATGAAATGAGGTCTATTGATTCTTAAAAGCTCTGTAATCATCCAACAAGGAGAACATACTTGACAGCGCGTGACAAAATGTGTTCACTGGATACTTTCTTTTAAACTGATCATGACATTAAATTATAGCCTGGTAGTTCTGCAAGAAAAAAAAAATTGTGTTCCTAATTGTGGCAGTATTTTTTTTTCGATAAAAATCGAGATTTCTCCAGGATTCACTCAGAACTGATGACATAACGGACCTTTTCAATAAGGAACTCTACAGACAAGTTACTCAGAAAATTCAATTCTAATCTCCAGTGCATATGTATTACATCAGATATTGTCAGAACTAGATGTATTTATCAGACAGCAGATGCACTGTGTTCAAATAATATGCCATGAATGGGCAGATTTGATTCACCTACACAAATAATCTAAAAATACAGCAGGAATCAAGAAAAAAACTGACAATTGCGTATAAATCAGGAGTCTGGGTGAGTGCTTTTTAGTTCTTGAGTCATAACATTACGACCTTCATGCCTCAAGAATTGAAATAGAGGAGAATTATGAAATAGCTTCTTAGAAACAGAAAGGAACCTATTAATCTTTATGACATTTTTTTTCAAAATTCTAAAAAAAAAACAAGAATTAAGGATAAAGAAAAAAGACCTACGTTTTATCAGAGAGGAATGGATAAAGTTGCAGTGTCTGTCTCATCGTTAAATCCCTAACAAGAACTTAAGTATCAGAAGAAGAAGAAGAAATAAAAGCATAGAACCAATATCATTGCTACTGTTGAAATGAAGGAAATATTTGAGTTATAAACGAGAAAACCTTTACCTCAAGAAAAGGGTGAAATACAAAGCTTGAAGTTACTACCTTAAGACATTATAGTAAATCAATACCATTTTGCTCCAACAGGAAGCACGCGACAAAATACACCAAAGTGTATAATTCCTTCTAAGATTTAATCCATTGCTAAAGGAAGTGTTCAGTTGGAAAAACAATTAAGATACCAAAGCAACATAACCTTTTGTAAAAAAAGGGGGAATTCATCCTACATTTAGGACAACAATTACCATATCCAAACAGGCCAAAGGATCAGCTTAGCTGGTAAAAATTACAGGAAATAATTAGCCATGATTCCTCAATGCAAGACCTGAAAAAGCAATAATGGTATTCTTTCTCCACAGTGTGTGAAGATGGAGGACTTGGAATCATATTGAAAGTGTGGGCACTGCACATTCTTCAATGTTACATGCAAGATTATGCAACATAGTTGCGTTGTATAAAGTCAAAGCGTGGAAAGAGTCACTCGGTGTTTTGATATGGAAAAATTTCAACAAATAATCTGAGATAAGCTTCTCAGGCAGCAGATTTAATTGTAGAGAGATTAGTTAAGATTATTATAAGGCACCAAAATCAGTGAAAGTATTTTTGCTCCAATATTGAGCTTAAAAGACTAACTTCTTCTCCTGGACAAAGTTGGAACTGTCTGAATACAAAGGATCCTCCTTAGAAGGTATTGGACTACACAGGAAAAAGACTGTTTCTCTCAGGAAATTTAGAAGGATGTAGGGAAAAAAAAGAGAAAAAAAAAGACCCAACAGACGATCACACTGAAAATTATACAAATCACAATTTCTCAATTTGTGGAGAGGCGGCATACAGTAGTGACTTTGTCATAACTCAGTTAATAAGGAACATCATCCCAAAATTGATTTAGTCACTGATAAAATGATGTGGATGCTGCATCTGTTGGCTTGTTGATAAGAACTGAACATTCCTACAGCAGGGAAATTCACTTAATTCTTGAAAAGAGACAAGTGTTTGGATTCAACAGAAGCCAAAAAAAAAAAAAAAAATGGCAAACTACGATACTATTGTGTACAGTGTTTCTAACAGCACTGAACTCGTGTCAAACATCGCCTTATTGGTCAATGCCACTTTCTTCCCAGAAGGCACTGAAAATACATCGAATGATTGTATGGAAAATTCCACCCTTAAAAGATTCAGTGATGGATATGAACAAATCCATGGTTATCTTAGTATCCTCATCTGCTTCGTTGGCATAATATGTAACATTCTCAACGTGATTGTTTTAACCAGAAAAAACATGATTTCGCCAACTAACTACATTTTATCTGCGCTGGCCATTGCGGATCTGTTGACCATGGTGCCTTACCTTCCTTTGGCGTTCATGTACTGTCTGGAAGGCAGGGGGAATGTTCTGTCTATTGATGTACCTCGATCTCTAAGTATCATCCTGATCAACCTAATGAACAACGTGATCTCTATCACGATGCATTCTGTGGCCATGTGGCTTACGGTCGCCTTGGCGTTTTTCCGCTACATCATCGTCTGTCATGGCCGGACTCATGCGCCAAAGTTGTGCAGTTTATACCGTACAAAACTGACAATTGCCGCGATCTGTATTTTCACTTTATTATTTCTCATCCCAAATTTCTTGTGTCTGAAGGTCACACCAAAACGCGGAAACCAAGGCCAACAACTGTATATGCTAGAAGCTGGTGCAATCTGTACAGACAACTTTCTAGTTAATTTGAAATTCTGGCTTTATGGAGTCGGGGTGAAGATTGCAACTTGCATCCTCTTGGTTATATTCAGTGGGCTCTTAATAAAGGCCATTCACAGCGCAAATCAACGCCGTAGGAAGTTGCTGTTCCAAGGCCGACGGGCAGAATCGGAATACACACATGAGCATAATCGCACGACGACCATGCTGGTCACTGTGGTGCTCCTATTTGTGGTGACGGAGCTCCCGCAAGGAATATTGCTCCTTATGATAGGCATATCGGAGAATAAGGCTCAGAGTGCCTGGTGTGTCTACTTTGATCTGGCTGACTTTTTGGATATGATTGTCCTTCTAAACAGCAGCATCAACTTCATGCTGTACTGTACAATGTCACAGCAGTTTAGAAACACCTTTAAAAGCCTCTTTATTAAAAAGATCACACATCGCCTAAACTCGATGTCAGTGCGCCATTCTGGGTCAGGACCGAGGCTGCGAAGTAACGGCCACCCATATGATGCCATTCCTAGTAACAATGGAAATGTTTCGTGCATAACAAATGAGGAAAAGACCATGAATACCACACTTTGAGCAATGTTGCATGCTATTCACATCCTAGAATAACATGTTAAACATGACATGCCTAAGGGTTTCAATTAGTTCTGAGATAATCACAGAGTCTACAAGTGACTAAAACACAGAGATACAGCAGTCGCCAGGGCTTTTGGAAATGGGGAAAAATCTCTGTGACTAACAAGCATGTTTAAATAGATACATTCATCTCTGTAAAAAAAATTCTTGACAAAAGATAACATTGTTGATATCTACTCCATATCCCTGGCAGTGGCAAGTGTCTCAATGTTTGGGTAAAGGGCAAGTGCATCGAAACAGTTGCCAAGACAGTCTTTGGAAGAATGTAGAAAAAATGTCCATTGTATTGTGAATGAAGCGAAATCACCAGAAAGCAATACCAACAGGAGCGAAATATATATCGATCTGCAGCTAAAGATGAAGTGAACGGTACCTTTCAGCCATCATGGTTGTGATTCGCCACCCAGTGGTGCCCCCTGGCGGTGTGTAAAAACAGTGAGTTGTTATCTCTTCACAAACAGTGTTACAAGAAAAAATCATAAAACAACTTGAAAGAGTGTCACACTTGCTACTGAAATGACTTGGTATGAAAGGTACCAAAGTTAGTCATTTAGAGATGATCAAGTTAAAATTATGACAAAGGACTGAAATATTTTGTGAAACCATGAGGTTACTTTATGTCTTATTTGTGAAGAATTGATCTAAAAACATTGCACAGAAATACATGTATATAAAAGAAAAAACTTTATGTGTGCAAAGTATCATTAATATCAGTGGACAACGTTGGTCTTAAATGTGAACATATAATATAAATAACAGACATAATACAGATAAATATGTACTGGATGACCTGCAGAGAGGCAAACTTTAATTTCCCCCATTATCTCTTTTATTGTCAGGAAAGTGTGAGAATATTTATAGATGGTAAAACAGACCAAAAATGCCATTCAATGTTTAATTTACTGTACTTTATTTAAAATAAAACAGGTTTTTAGACCTGGCCAGTAAAGTAGATTACAAACTGAAGAGCTCAAATTGTGATAGTTAAATACCAGTAATATAGCATGACACAAATAGTTTTATGTTATTTAAGAGATATTATCAAAGTTATTAGTAGTCTTTATCAAACAGATTTTGTAAAAAACCATCGTGATTGGAGACCAAATTTGCAAAATTTCTCCAATTTTCAGACATGCTGATATCCTCATACCGGAAATGCTGCATTTATTTATAATGACAAGCTACCAGTTGAAAATTTGCCAAATCCAACATCCACACATTTGATCAGTCTGCCAAATGTGACTTAATTCATCTGAAAGCTGATTAAAGTATATTTATGTAGATAATTATTTAAGTAATGTTGGGATCTGATATCCACGCTTTAATTTTCTATGTAACAGCAATGCATGGCATGTCACAAAATCTATATGACAAATGGAAAACATTTAACCATGTTGAAACACCATTAGTAATCACAGAAAGTGCTAAATGGCCTTCGGAGCTTTAGAATGCAAGTTCCAAGCATACTGCAAATTACCAAACTGTTGTGCCAGTAAGAATTCTTTTATTCTCAGTTTTCTTGTTTGACTCTGAAACTGTCTGCCAATGTCATAAATTTTAACGGAACATAATGGATACCATGTTATGAAGATATTTCTTTGAAGGATAGGTGTTCATCGGATAAAAATATTGAACAACAAGTGGCCTGAAATTGCTCTCAAATAGTTTGGTAATTGGGATCATGTAGATGAAACCACAAAATCCTTTAAAGTAATTTTCAGTGATTTTCCTCTGAAGGAAGATACTTTCTAATCACAAGTATCTTTGTGGTTCCTGACAATAACCAAACGACAAATGATAATATTGCTTTAAGAAGAAAGTCCTCACTTGCAAAAGGCACCAAATGAAAAGGGTTCACTGCAAAGAAATTCTTTAAGTTGCAAGATTTGAAAATTTGCTAACATTGGTTGCTGAAGAACAGCAGCAAGTTTTCAAATGGTCATTGAATAAATGAGGAAATCCAATGTAAATACAGCAAAGCTATGTTTGGAATAAACTTATTTTTACCGAGTTATATATAAATATATATCTATGTGATATGTAAAATGCATAATAATGGCGAATTAATTCTATAATCACACTCTGTATTCACCATTCACAAAATTTATGACCGAGAATTGTAACATTACTTTTTTTAAGGGTTAATCCAATTCAGAGTCAATTGGCGTATTACAATAACATGATTATATGAGTAATACCAGTATATACACAATGTCAAGAGCACTGTTCTATTTAATATGTCACAGTAAGATGATGTAAAATAGCTCATTTTTTTCTTGCTGTTCATTTTTCCAAAGGAGCAGTTATTGTTAAAAAATATTTTCAAAAAGAGATTATGAATTATCAGTTGCTATAGAGGGTTGTTAATGTCAGAAAAAATGTAAAGAAATTTCATTTTTTTGTCTTGCACTTAATGCTTAATATATTATTATACTGAATGTTATAAAGTTATTTTGCATTTAAATTGTTACGTATTCTTGCAAATGCTATTATGTTCATTCAATAAATGTCTACAAGCAGTTGCTGTGTTTTCAGTATTACGGTATAAAATGCCATGATTCATTTACAACATATTGTGCTTTATACTGATTTGCTTAATTTATCACTTCCACTCTCCTTTTTAAAATTAGGTTTCACATTTGAAATGCACAGCAACATTGCTAAATGTCTCCATAAATAACCAAGTGGTCCTGAAAAGGGCAAACTTTTGTTGAGAATACAACATTAATTTTTTTCATTTCTAGACATTATAGCACATGTCTGTGTGAGATTCTGTGTTTACTTGCACCCCTTCTGCATGTATTAATTCACAGCAACTTGTCAGTGCAGTCATTATATTATATGTCTCTTTGCCTTGCGTGTGTAATGGCAAATCTATTTAGCTAGATTTAATGAGACACGCTCTTCATGCCATATGTAAGCTTCATACAACAGAATAAACCCCAGGCTATTTGTCAGTAATCAAGGCAATCATTTCTGCTGTTGAAACTTGCTGTTAAAGCTGAGTTTGTTCTCTCTCCCTCTCTCTCTCTTTTTCTTTCTTATTTGCTAATGTGAATGTTATATCCTCGCAGTAATATATCCATCTACCTGTTAGAAGAATTTCTCACAATTAACATCCAAATTATTTATATAATTAATTCAGCAACACAGTACATTATCAATGTATTGTTTAAAAAAATTCAACTTCCCCCCTCCCACTACCATTTCACTATTCACTAATTTATTTCTACCCACTGACTGACCTATCTGAATTTTTAAATTAACTCACCTTATCATTTCTTCTTCAATTTATCTAAAATATGTAATCATTTATCAATTAATTTTGTACATACAGTTGGACTCTCTCTCTCTCTCTCTCTCTCTCTCTCTCTCTCTCTCTCTCTCTCTCTCTCAGTTTATCTCTCATTAGAATGTATTCCCTAACCAAAGAGCTGATTTCTTCCTTAAAAGCAGTAGTAATGAAGTAAAAAATCAAATTAAGCCAAGTGCTCTCTCTTGCTAAGCTTGCAGTAAGTGCTACACTAGTATGGTACCCATGGGTGATTGCGTCAAAAGTAATATAAAGACCCATTTAGATAACTATTGGGACAAATCATTTTTCAATAAGGTTCTGGTTCAACTTGTTACTTGTTCAGAAGTACAAAGGAAAAATGGCGTATTCTGTTTCATAATTAATCTTACAAAAAGGAAGATAAAATATTCAAACCAATTGTTGAGGAAATAAATTGACATTTAAAAAATAAGGGCATGTGTAAAAGATAAATGCAATTAATTTCGACTGACGCTTACAATGACGTTGAACAGTTGTTAGAACAAAAATATAAAAATTTATAAGAATTTATTATGACAAAAATTGATGCATTTCATACAATTTATAATTAGGCCTTTACAACCTTCAACCTGAAATTTTCTATTCTTCATGAACACAAAACAAGAGAAAGGCTCTCTGTAGGTGCCAAAAGTCACATTTAACTTGACAAAGATATACTTTTCTTTTTTTTTTTTCAATTGTTCCTGTTCCCATAGCACCCAATGTTATCATACATTTCCAATTTGAAGTCAAGGAGGCTTGCCTTTCATTTAATTACATAACGTGAAATATGTGTTGTTTGACGTCTCTGGGCCAAATAAGGCGTTCTGCTGCACGAGTGATAAAAGCATGATAAGACTCAACTGACCAATCAGAACAGAGGCACTGAACACAGCACTCACAAAAGTGCAAAGTTGCAAGTCTGTTCATTTTTACTTGACAGACTGAGTTTAGTACAAAAATACCAGTTATGACATTAGACAGAGAATTTTTAGCCAGTGTCAAAGAAGTACAGGTTATTCTGTACAAACAAATTGATTTTTTACCCGACTTCTAATTTAGTTAGCCAACAGCTTTTATGTTGAAGACTTCAAGTATACTTTGGGGAACCAAATATTATATCTGAGTTTGGAACTTCAAATAATGATGCTTGATGTAACAGAAATTTGCTGAGAGAGCCAGGAAAATGTATAATTCAAAAATGTAATATTTTGTAACAATATCAAGAATGGGATTACTCGAACCTTCTTAAAAGATAATTATCTTCCATTTCACAGCTGTTGATAGAATTTGAACAAAATCTGAAGATATCAAGGTAAAAGGTAGAAGAAATTCAAACTATATCTGCCTCTCAGTTCTGCGACCTCAATGCTTGAATTCTATTAATTATAGCTACATGCCTCCTGGTTCAGACAAGAAAAATGCTCGACTGATATTAAAAGCAAGGAACAGATTATGGTCTAGTCATCAACTACAAGTTGGACTGATTTCCGGTCCAAATGAGTTTTGTCTGAACAAACGTCAACAACTGCTCCTTTCATCTAGATATACTGACAGATGAGATAATAAGCACAATTAACTTACAAATGATAGTGTATAAAGGACTGGGGTCTAGTTTTTACCCTTAAAAATTGGCCGAAAATGATAAAGTCATATCACTTAAAGGAAGTAAACAAATTTTCTTTTAAGACATCTGTTTAAGTATGTCTTTTTATATACTGACATTTTGAAATGTTACAGGTAGTCTACAAGGGCAAAAAAAAAAAAAAGAAAAGAATATCCTGAAAATTTAGAGCAAAATTTTATAATATATGCACTTTTTATAGTTTTAAAATTATGATCACCTTTTTGAGTGCAAAACCAAGCATAAAACACAGGCTTCTGGGATGCTTTGGGCAATGGTAAACAATAATCATCCTTATCAAACAGACCATCAGAATTAATCAAGCTCAAATATGGTAGTAATTCCTGCCTTTTTTTATCTAACCAGTTTCTGAAGTAAGAAAACGGTTGCAATACCAATCTGGAGTTAACCATCTGTGACATTGATTAAATCACTACAGAAAGTGATAGGAAAGGGGGTGCAACCGATACCACCTGATGGTGAAAGTAATTCTGTAAATGATCTCTGGCTGACATTTGCATGTGCAATTAGGCACATACATCTGGTCTCTCCCCTTACCTACCTGCTCTTATTGCCAATTTTTCCATGCTGTTAAACAAATCTACACAAAGAGTCAGAAGAATTTCAAAGTCTATTTCCAGATTGATACTTTTCAGTATTTAATTAGATGTTTCCTTCCATTTTTAATGCTCTAAATTTGCCAATCTAACATATATTTCAGTAAAATATAAAAAAGCTTTTCTCCAAACTGGAACAGTTTCAAAACAGCAAACCATGGAGCAATCCAACCTAATTCACTCGGTCTCTTCTTGACCTTGTGTGAACTGCATCAGAACTTATCTCACACCCCAATAAAAACAGCTTCTAAATCATCACCATGAGACAAATTAATAACAATATGACGAATACTGTAATGTCCAGAGGTGGGGGGTGGGTGGTGGTAGGGGGGGTACTGGGGTACCTTGGGGGGCGGGCATTGGGGTACCAGGGAGAGGACACTGGGATACTTGGGGCGGGGCGGGGCGGGGAGGGGGGAGGACACTAGGGTACCTCTCCAAATGTGCTTTGAGAAAAAATTGACCATGTTATATAGTTGTATACAGGAGGCAGATATTCAGAGGTTTCACAGAGTATTGGGTACTAAAGCCACTGGTAAATTAATCTGACCAACATGTGACAGATTCAATACATACACTGGTTTAGATTCAAGAGGAAAAAAAAGAAACTTTAAAGTAAGGCAGCCAACTGTAGATTTTTGTTCTCAAATCCAATACAAATTGTCCAGCATAAAAAAACAATAAATCCCCAATAAGCTAGAAACAGTAATTGCAAAGAAGGATGGATAATTGAAAGAAGGCTTTAACAGCATGCTAATGTTAAATCAGCTTTTTTATATGCAACACCATATGGAGATTAAAGACAAATAACTTACTAAAACAACATCAATCTAAATCAAAACTGGGCTCATGGTTTATGTTTACTTAGAGAGATACATCAAGCAAATTTTATTCTCTTCACTCTTCTCTATTTTCTAATCAACTAGCTTATAATAATATCTATAAAGGACATCCCCTTTCCAAGAAAATCCCAAAATCTTTATTAAAAATGCACTGCTAAAAAAATCAACATGAAGGGTTATATTATAAAGTGTAAACTAAATCAGACAGAAGCACCCTTAAATGTTACACTTCATTAAGTTGCAATGAGGCATTTACTGCATGTTGCACACATTTAGATATGGTATCTCTGTATTGTAAAAAACTTGAAAGACTGGATAAACTGATAGACTGGCTGGTAATTTCTACCAAGGGATACAATTACCCTCGCAGGGAGAGAATTACCAGACGTTATATCACCAATGTCCAATGGGGAATTAAGAAATTCCACTTAACTTCCTCTTCCAGTAACTGTTGCTATTACCAAGAATATATGTTTTCATACTACCATAGAAGTACGGACAGTAATAGCCCTGGGCCTTCACAATTAGGCACTTTAAACATGAACAGGGTTGATAATAGGAATACATGCAGGCACTCCATATTTTGAGTATCAACAATTTTTGCAAACAAAACAAAATGTTCTACCTAACCATTAACATGACAGCAAAACGGTTCTCGACTCATATACCAGTATGTATGAAGCTTTCCAAATTTGAAAAAGCTCCGTTTCACCTTAGAATTCGCCATGTCCAGGAGAAACCGAGATGTGAGGTAAATAAGATTTCTGGAACTTCCAAGCTGGCCTATTTCCAAATTTGACCTTGAAAATAGGCCAAAGGTCAAGGTCAATGTCATCATTTTTCATTCATTTCAACTTATGAATGTGACAAAAGCATTTTCCTCTGTTGTTCCAGAAACTTTCTAAACTTCAGACATCTTTAGGCAGTAACATGTATAACATACAAAAAAGCAACAAAACAGTTCACTTTTGATAAATTCAACTGAAGATGCAGATTCCAAAGAAAATTCATTTTGATCATAAAACACAAGGTTTTCATTTTTGAACTAAGGGACCATTCCCACAGATATTTGGATCGATCTTTCTCCCTGGGGAGTCTCACTAAATCACTATCAAGATAACCAGCTTAAATGTCGGTCACGCCTAGTAAAGCTGTTAAGGGATAATTATTTTTACCCCCTAGCTTATTTGGGAGCGTGTCAGACATTTAAGTTGATAGCAGTTAAGTGAGACTCCCCATGGAGTTAGGCCGATGCAGATGGATTGATCTAGGCATGGGAACCCTGTCTTAAAGTTCAGAACAGTTTTCAGGCTAAAATGACTTTGTCTGAATGACCCCTGGGAATTCACTTTAAGTTCAAGCAATGTTTGAGATCCT